TATTAATACAATACTTTGTTGGGTCACCACTTGATGTCCAATCCTGATGAAACCCCAGTTGAGAACCACTGCTCTCTATTATACACAAATCCACAAGCACAATTTTGGCTCACTGTGACTTCAGATTATGCTGGGGTGAGAAATGAAAGCAGTTCAGGAAAAAATATTTTTCTTACCTTGAAGAACGAAGACAGAACTGCTCCTGTGTTTAAACACAGTGTCAACACATGCAGCTGAGGACATGTACTAGGAAACCAATGTGAAATGGGCTGACAAAAGCTCCTACACAACGAAGATAATAGCTCGGCAACAATGGAGCTAAAGAACAGCCTGCGGACCAAGTAACACAGCCATAACTGAAACGGCTAATTCGCTGTCATCAAAAGAAAGAAAAGCCCATGTGCTTGCAAGTCAACTTGAAAGCAACAGCAGATAGATCACAGTAGTCAAGAAAATGATTCCCATGTCTTCTAAACGACTAGGTTACAGAAGAGTTACAAAACTTTTATAAAAAGTTTATAAAAATGTGATTGCAATGGCAAAGGCACATGCCAAGCTGCTGGATAGTTTACAAGGGGTCTTGCTGTGTTAGCCCTGTCTCAGTCTACTGAGTTAATGAAGTCAAGTGAGGTCCACTGGCTGGGCCCTCTGGAGAATAACACACAGACTTAATCAGCCTGGGCCAGGCACGTCGCCTTGCTAATGAGTGTACACACAGTCCCCAAGTGTACATGTGCAATGTATGCATGTGTGTGGACAGTCCAATTCACCCAGCTTTGCCCAAACAGGTAGGTAGAAAAAAAAGAGCCTGCTTTTTATCCATTTTGCACCTGCCGCAAGTTACTTTACCTCAGATCGTTGACCTTGTTTGTCTGGAGAGTTGCAAAAGCTGCAGATTAAAAAATATATATATGATAAATGCAGAAAAGCCTACATTGAAGCAGCTAGACAAATTAGTGAGAAGCCAACATGGGCAAGTTGCATAACATCCTGTAAAACTATGAAAAAAAAACTACGTAAAGGGATTATAATAATTATAATATAAAATACTTTTAGGAACATTTTAAATGTATATAAATATGAAGTGCATAATATATATTTAAAAAATATTAAATGTATATAAAATTTTTATTTTATTAAAGATATGTTAATACAGCAGTAGTTTGAGCTACAGATAGTCGGAGGCGAACATGGACAGGTTGCATAAAATCCTGAAAAAAAACATTAAAAAATAGCTATGCAAAGATATAATTATAATTATATAATATACATTTATAATTATATTTTAAATATATAAAAATACACACACATTTTTTTTTTGAAAATTATAAAATATATATGCATGACAATTATTACTATTATAAAATAAAATATGTACATAAAGATTTTTTTTAAACTACAAAAAAGTTTTAGATGTTACATTAATAAAATAGTTGTTAACCTCTAATAGATATAGTCAGTTAAACTGCAGATTAAAAAAAAAATATTTAGAAGTTAAAAAAACAGATGATATATGCCAAACAGCCTATGTTGATCTGTAATCCCACTGAAAAGCTTTGCCTCCCCTTTCAAAAATGGATCAAAAACTGTCCCTTGGCTAGCCTACCCAGACCACGCTCTGCACTCTTTGAAGTCACAAGGGAAGCTCACATAACACTAATAGCCTAGTCGTGCTCCAAATGGCTGAGTCACTTTTTTCCCTTTTTTTGCTTCAGTGCTGTGCTGCCTCACTACCTAGCAGCTCCCAGACCATGTTGACCTTAAACCGGAGAAAAAAAACACACATGCACTTTTCTATTATCAGCCTCTCACCACAATGCACTTCCACCTAAACTCTAGGGCGTGAGGCCTCGAAAGCCCCAGAAGAAAAACACAACACCAAAACAGCCACCATAACCGCTGCTGTCAGACAATAATTTGAAGAAGAAAAAAAAAGAAAGAAAACTGGCGCAAGATTCACTGTACATACTGTACCCTGGGCTGTGGCAGGCGGCCCAGACTGGCATCCTGCCAAGTCCACAATAAAACAAACAGAGACGGCATGCACCAGCCGAGAGGAGCGAGGGGGGCGGGGGTGTGTGACTGAAATGGTACACCACAATACACACGACATACCTAATACCATTCTTCAGCACCTTCTCCTGAAGACGAGGGAACGGAGGAGGTGGAGGGCAAAGCCACTTGCTTAATGTCACTGATAAAAATCAAACCGCTCAGAACAGAAAGGATAAAAACAGAAAGTTTGCAATGAAAGAACAAAGCAACCAAAAAAACAAAACAATCGAAGAGCCGCGCCGTGTCTCTGCCTCTCCGCCACTGTCTGTGTCTATAAAAGTGTTTCCACTGAAAAGCTTGAGCATTACACAAGAGTGAAGCTCTCAAGAGCCAGACTGCTACAAACAAAAACCAGGTTAGCGCTATGTGTCAAGCATCGAGCATATGAGCGTTAAAACTGTTTTGTTCTAGGGTTTTTTTTGTGTTCTGTTTTGATGCGCTAAAAATAAGCCGCCTCGCAATTCTCGCTTATTCCGCCTGTTGAGGGAGGCTGTCTGGGGCTGATTCTTTTGGTAAAGATCTTAAGGAATTATGACTGGTTCTTCTGCTGTTTTAAATGCAAAACAGCCATCATGATTACCGACATTTCTAATTTTTTCTCAATTTTATGAGGGTGATGTATAATTAGAGAAAAAAACAGAAACTGTATGTGGCAGAGTGCTTAATGAACACAGCCCAAGCTTAGCCACCTCATGTGCAGATCCCATCATCATGTCTACTGGTGTTTTCCATTTATGTTTGTTTCAGATATCTGAGATCAGTTCTGTGGGAGCACTTCAAATCAACTGATTTTGATGTGAATTGGCTTTAAGTAAAATAGCTTATTCTAATATTAATTTTATGAAGATGGAGGAGGAGGATTAAAAGATGAAGAAGCTGATGACGATAGAAGAGAAGGAGGAGAGGAAGAAGCAGCAAAAGAAGATAGAGTTGATGATGATGAAGAAGAAGAAGAAGGTGGTGTAGTGGTGAAGAAGAAATGTAGGGGAAGAAGCAGCAGCAGCAAAAGAAGAGGAAGAAGAAGAGCAGAGGAAGACTAAAAGCAGTAGCAGTGGAAGATGAATATGTAGAAAAGCAACAAAAACAGCAGCAGCAAAGGAAGAAGCAACAGAAGAAACAGCATCAGGTGAAGCAGCAGCAGAGGAAGAAGCAGCAGAAAAAGAAGATGAGGGAGCGGAACAGGAAGAGAAAGAACACCTTTTGATCTAATAATCGCATGGTACATGGTCCAAAAAACAACACTGTTGTTTGAGAAAATTAGATTTGAGTCTATGTTTAAAGCTAAGGACACTTGAGCTGCAGCGACCGATGTTCGGACTACAGTAAACTCCTGCAGTCATCCAGAGAGGGTGAAGTGTGAGGCCCCACAAACACGAACACATCAAATGGCACTCAGTCCTTCTGTTTGGATAGTCACTGAGCAAGTCAGTGGCTTTACAAAGGTCTTTTTGAAGCATTCTCTAGCCCACAGTCTCATGCAACCCAGCTTCTGAGTGCAGGATTATCCGCAGTCATATTATCCAAACTGCACAAGCCAGTCTCCCATAAGGATTTCTGGATTACTATAATGACACGGAACATACTTTTGCACGAGTACAGGCGTCTCTGCGGGTCAGTGCGGAATACCAAACAGAGGTATTCATTGGAGTTCAGACTCGGCCTCTTTGTCTCATCGCAGAACAGCTCTCATAAATGTCACCATGCAGTACATGCTCCGTGGGCTGCCATTATGAGTGCACGAGTACTACAATATCTCCACAGAGTCTGTTATTGAACATGCATCTTGGGATTTGAACAGCCTCTAAAATAAACATTAGATATTTCCTTAGAGCAGCGTCTGCCATGCTGAGTCGTGCATGAATTGAATTGGGCGGCCCAGCGTGAGATGTCACTCATCTCTCCACTCCACGTTTTTAAATGTCCCTGCAAAAAGTCAATCTCATCTCAATATATGAAGATATTGACATCGAAAAATTCCATCGGTGCGAGGCAGAAAGTTGGAAAGGTCTGGTGGTGTAATCTGTGAGTTTTTTTTGAACTAATCTAATCTAAACTCCCAATTACTGTGGAATCAATTACCTAGGCACAACACTCGCTCTTAATTATCATAAACCCAAGTGTGCTCGATAGAGGGCAAAGAGTCTGCAAAATTTGACCATCGTGCATATCTGGTGTGTGGTAAGGACTTTGACTTCACTGGTCTGTGAATTTGGCAATCGCAGAGGGAGGTGAAGGGAGATTCCTGTTGGCCTGGGCTGGAAACCTAGAGTCCCAATGCTTTTATAGACTCTATATAAACCAGATTCACCACAGACCACTTCTCTATTAAAGAAAAAACTCTCCTCTCCAGAAAAAAAACAAAAACACATACAACCTCCAAAAATCAACTAGAATCAAATGTAGATTTTCCAGGATTCTACATATAGAATAGATATATACTACTGTTCAAAAGTTTGGGGTCACCAAATCAACACATTATAATGATTTCTGAAGGATCATGTGACACTGAAGACTGGAGTAATGATGTGGAAAATTAATTTACAATCACAGGAATAAATTACATTTTAAAATGTTAAAATACAGAAATTGTAATAACTTAAATTGTAAAAATATTTCACAATATTATTGAGTTTTCTGTATTTTTAATCAAATAAATACAATCTTGATGAGCATAAGAGACTTCTTTCAAAAACATAAAAAAAATACAGACCCCAAACTTGGGTAGTGAAAGTAGTCAAAATTATTATTATTATTTTTATTATAAAATTTTTACAATTATATTAAACTATATTATTAAACCATAAAATTATTTAAAATGACCTGTTGATTGCAATTCAATACCTCTTCCTGTCATTCCAATTCAACTTTTAAATGCATGAACTGAAAGCGAGAATTCAGAATTTCACCCAACCCTTAAAAACAAGCATCCATGTTAGTGATGTTACCTGAGTGAGACAGCAAGTGCATCCTTAGGCGCAGACTGTCTAGGAAGCGTTTTCCACAAAGCTCGCATCCGTAGGTCTTCATTCCGCTGTGCAGCTTCCTGCAGGGAGAAACAGGACAAAATAACATCAGCCAACACAGTTTATGTCACTCGCACAAAAACGGGCTTTCGAAAGCACCTGGGTATACTATGTGATTTGATTAGCGTACTAAATGGCAAAGACAGAATGGCATAATTTTACCGCTCCTCTTACACCAGATAACAAGACGGAGGGTATATTAAAACCAGCACCCTTGTTTTTGTGAAATACTAAAGTGAGATTTGTAAAACCGCTGTTTATCTTGAGAGAGGAATAAACCAGTGTTTGCAACCACTTGAAGCTAAACTTGCACATCTCCTTGTCATCAAACACTTCAGCTGCTTATTTCCATATTAGACGATCGTAAGTATATTTAAGATATTTAAGTATATATAAATATATTTAAGCCTCTCACTGTCAAGTGAAAAAAAATGATCAATGGCACATGTGGTTTCATTGTTCATTCATTCAGTTCCCTAAGCGGAGATGAAGGAGCCCTTTATCTAAACAGGAACATATAGATGGCCATGAGTCCCCAGATAAGAGTGACTTTAACGGCTGAATTTGGCTGCAGGGTCCATTTCAAACAGGGGTCAACTTTTCATGAGCCAGAAAGTGAAACATTTGCTCTCTTAAATTATAACATCTCTGAGTATTGGGGAAAGATTAACCCAACAGACCGGAGAATTTTGAGTCAAGTGGACTTTCAAAGCAATTTTCATGAGTTAAGCTGCCCAATTAATGTAGGTAAGTGTCTAAAACATTGTGGAAGAAATCTAAATTTAAGTTTAAACTCACTGTCA